GCCCCCCCCCCCTGCGGACGCCCATGCCCCATTGGTCTTCCTTGTGCTGCCAAAACCGCTCTGATGTGTTGAGACATGGACTCCATAAGACTTCTGTATGCACCCAGCACATCCCACAGATGCTCAGTAGGATTGATATTGGAGGCCAAGACAACACCTTTTTGTCATGTTCCTCAAACCGTTCCTGAACAATTTTTGCAGTGCGGCAGGGTGCATTATCCTGCTGAAAGAGGCCACTGCTATGAGGGAACACCATTGCCATGAAGGGGTGTACGTGGTCTGCAGCAATCTCTAGGTTCCTGATCGTGTTTTTTCTGATATTTGACTTTGGCTTTGTTTCGACTTCCCTGATTTCTGGTATCTTTGACTTCTGGCTTTCCTCATCGGTGTGTCTCATTCTGTGTCCCTGACCTCGACAAGTATTTTGACTATTCTCTGGTACTTTAAGTCCGGCCATTCTAAGTTGCAGCTAGACGTTATCCTTAGTCCTAGGTGTGATACTATTCTGCGTGCTGGATCAACTATAATTCTGACACGAACACTATAAACATGCATTCCTAACACTATAGTGCCGGAGTGGTTATTTAGGTCTCCGGCCCCCCTCACAATTAAGTTTTCTCTTTCGTTGCAGCTGGCCCTGCCTCCATGGCCGAGCTCATCAATCTTGAGGATCTCAGCCAATCCAATGCTTTTCCATAGGAAAGCATTGCAAGGCTATTGTGCGTGCACGGCAAAACACGGCGCTGCACCAGTCAGCATCTCCTCATAGAGATACATTGAATCAATGCATCTCTATGGTTAGCGTTCAGTGTCTCCTTGCAGAGCATGAAGACGCTGTACGCCTGTGCTGCACACTGTGCGGCACTGGACTAGGAAGCACCTCTAGAGGTCATCTGAGTGACATCCACTAGAGGCGTGACTAGCCAGCAATGTAAACACTGCCTTTTCTATGAAAAGTCAGTGTTTACCGTGTTAAAACTGCAGGGACATGCTATAGACACCAGAACAACTGCATTAAGCTGTAGTGGTTTTGGCGACTATAGTGTCCCTTTAAGCTTTTATTTTAGATCCAATATAAAAATCCTGTAAGATTATATTCCCAATGACATTGACACACTACACAGACCGTTTATCTACACGAACAGATTTATGTAATAACATGGCCATACCAAATAATAGGGATATTACAGAAGGAGACAGTGTAGCTCTAGTTTGTGTACTGAAATGAGAACCCATGGGTTACACCTCATTAGTCGAATGTGCAGACGTATGGATGGCATGAAGACGTTTAATTATTTCTCGGACAATTAAGAGGAAAAGATCTAGATATAATTATAAATCCTTTATCAACATTTTACATGGGTCTGCATCGCTGTGTATTGGAGTCTGGTAGACGCTTTGGGTCTCCTCTGGTCATAGCGCTGACGATGCTAAGCAAGGTGAATTCAATTATGTATCTAAAGTTGCTAACGCTTTGTACTAACTTTTTAATTGATTGGAAAGTGATGAGTCGGCATCTTTGGATCACTAATTGTTGGTTTATCCTTGCAGCCTTTTCTCCCTTGGCTCTGGGCTCTGTAAGAGACTGGAATGTTATTTACGTACTAGTTTATAAAGAAGATCTCACCTTCTGATCTTGCGTTCCGTAATCTTGGCCATGTTTGGCTCCAAGTTTGGTAGAATTCTAGTGATAATACGATCACAAGCTGCAAAACAGCTGCAAAGTGACACAAATTCCACTTCCCAATATAATTATGTGGAGAGAACAAGTCAGCGTCCCTGATCTCGCGGAGATATACGCACACGGCAAGCCAAACATTAACGTCGCTTGCAATTACTATTCTGCGCTAATCTTATTCAAAGATCTCAGGGCTAATCAAACATTCCCTGTGTATTACAGAAATGGAAGATTTACTGTTCCAATTAAAATGTAAAAAAAATTAAATAACTCTGTGGGGAAGGTGTTTATTAAACCCCGGTTTTCCCTGAGTTGATGAAAATGTATCAACTTGCAGACTTGTTGAAATAAACACACATGCAACTTTCCTGGACCCTGTAACGGAACACAGAATGTCCTATCTGCATCAGCAATGTTAAAGAAACTTCCCAAGCACCACAACCACTGCAGTGTACTGATAGTCAGTGAGCTAAGCCCTGCACTGCTGCGTTAGTTCAGGACAGAGAAAGGTGAGACTGACTCCTGACGAACCCCTGGGGAATTATTAAACCATTTGCAAACTGTTCTACTACTTACCCTAGGAGGACACTAGGCTACTCCAAGCACCATAACTACTAAAGCGTGCTGTAGTGGTTATAGTCCTTGCATTGCTCCTTTAAGAATGCAGAAAACTGCCTGGTTTATTGTTTAATATATGGACAGATGTAGTGCTTATTGTTCAGTCAACGGAGAACTGCATAGCTCAATATTAAATTTATACGGAGCTTGAATTCAATAAAAAAAATGATATTCTATATAATGTTCATTCATTTATTTAGATTACAGAGCCCCACTCCCACCAATATTTCAGAATAATAATCTATTGTGTTTTCCATTATTTAAGCATTGGGAGATTCTCCTCGCTGCAGCTCTTCTCTACAACCACTGAACCTTTCAAGTAATGATTACTGATGACTTGTATCCAGGTATGATTATGGGGATTTATAAAAGTGCTGTTTTTTTCTCTTAAAATTAACACTTTTATAAAATAAACTTAGAGGGGACATGTAATCAACCTCTAAAGCATGTCAGCCAGTTCAAATGCTTTAAGGGACTGGGACACTCCAGAGTGGATTTGGTACATTACATTTTATTAATGGATTATAAAGACACATTATGCACATGATACCTACACGACTCAATGATAGCTTAGTCTGGGTTCATTGGGATCAGTGTAACACATAAAAATGGTGCAGAGAGCCGTGTTAAGCCAGGGTAGAACTACTAGGTTCAATGTTCACTCTATGGGAGCTGTAGGGTAAATATTGGGTCTACAGATATCTGCTCATTTCAAAGTTAGATTGTTATGCAGGTGCTGCCTGCAGGATTCCGTTTTAGATCTTTGAAGTATCTTTGGGTTCTGTTTATGGAACTCTGCATGGTTTGTTGTTGGGCCCACATAGAGCTGTATTGTGCAGGATGGTGAAATTCCACTGATCTGGAAAGATGCTTGGTTCAGTACTTATTCTGGGTAGAGCTGAACAAAGTCCTGTTTAGACCTATGAAGGGCTGCAGAGTTTACTGTTAGGCAGGGGCGTACCTAGAGCATTTGGCACCCGGGGCGGATCCTGTGTTTGGCACACCCCCCCTGCCCCGCCCCTCCTACAAAACCTCTGTCCTGCCCCTTCTACAAATCCTGTACTGCCCCGTCTACAAAACCCCCGCAACCCCCTTCCACAAATCCCCTGCTTATCCCCCCTTATAAAGACTCCTGTCCCAATACAAAACCCCCGCCCCCTTCTACAAAATCCCTGCAGCCCCACACATACATTTACAGGCAGAAAGTCACACACTCAGTTACAGACAGACAGTCACACACAGTTACAGGCAGACAGTCACACACAGTCACAGGCAGACAGTCACACATACACATTTCCTCCGTGCGGCCAGTTTATCAGCTGTTTGCTTGTGTGAGCTGTACTGGCCGCACGGCACCCTAACTACCATGGGACACTGTGCGGCCACAGCTCACACAGCCCCCTCCAGCCAGGGCCGGTGCAAGGATTTTTGCCGCCCTAGGCAAAAGTAAAGTTTGCCGCCCCCCATGTGACATCACAATGCCCCACCCATATGATTTGCCATGTTAACTAACGCCAGTGCTGCAGTGCCGCCGTGTTTACATTAAAAGGCCTGCAGGGACAGGCTATAGACACCAGAACCACTACATTAAGCTGAAGTGGTTCTGGGGACTATAGTGTTTCTTTAATGTGAGGTAAATTAGAGCTTAGTGCCACGAATAATATACTAGATTGCCTACTTACAACCAGATGAGGATGATGATGGGCTCTAGCTGCAGTCTGGCTCCACTGGTCTGGTGCAGAACAGGCTCTCTGGAGGCGGTTTGTAACTGTGGTCACAAAAATCAATGTTCTGGGAGAACGGGAAGCAGCTCCATTTTTTGGGGTCCTTTACACAGTTCAAGGTCTGGGTCCCAGGGTCCACCTTCATGTTTCACCAATGAGTTTGTTCACAGGGGGTGGAGTGTGTAGGGGATGTCCTGATATGTGTGTAAGGAATGCATTGTGTGAAATTGTGTTTGTATGTGTAAGGGCTGCAAGGTGTGTTTCTTTGTATGTATGGGATGCATTGAATGTGTGTAAGGGGTGCATTGAGTGTGTGTAAGGAATGCATTGTGTGTTTCTGTGTGTGTAAGGGATGCGTTGTGTGTAACGGTTGCATTGCTTGTGTATGTGTGTCTGTGTGTGTAATGCATTGTGTGTTTTTCTGTGTGCAAGGGGTGCATTGTGTGTATGTGATGAATGTCAATCTCTCCTCC